GAATCAATCAACATCCTCCTTTCTCTTCCCCCTTTTTGTGCTGTTATTTTAATAAATTATTGGTGGAAGTTTTCCTTTTTATCTTCATTACCTTTCATCTATTCCTTTCTTGTTCATGTGTCAGCTTATTGGTGTATATATGAAATCAGCATCGTTCCACAACAATTCTAATACCTTCCCATATCACCTTTTTGTGGCACTTTTCTCATCAATATTTTCCCCAATTTCGGTAGTCTTTTTATTTTTCTACACAACGATTTCCTAGACTTTGTGGCCTTTTTGTGTAACAGAACTTGATTGTTATTTTCCGCGTTATATAATTACAGGTTCAACTAAGTGATATGATATGCAGCTTGACTAATGGCTTGGACGGTTTGTTAACCGAGTCAGGATCTAACTTAAGTGTTGGCCAGCGTCAGTTGATATGTCTTGCACGTGCTATTCTCAAAGGTAACAAGATCCTTATCATGGATGAAGCCACTGCTAACGTTGATCACAGGTACGCTTCTTGTTCTGCACTTGACGCCACACTTAATCGACAAACTTTATTTAGAAAGGCGAGAGTATTTTATGTCTAGAAATACTTTTGAGATCGTAGTTGCTGCACTGAATGCCTTTTCGCCGAATGTCGTCCCGGTGCCACTCTTTCAAATTTGGCAGAAATATATCACTCACTTTGGACTGATAATTGCCCCAAAAATTCTGATTATTAACTAACTGTTTGGCTGCGGTAATCTGATACAGTCATGAAAGGAGTTACTTATGAAAAAGAATGGTCTGACCATCTCAGTCAATGTCTATAACAATATCTCGGAGAATGGTAATCATGGAAACTGCATTCAATTAATTTGCCGTAAAGCTATAGAAGGTTTGTTTCTTTTAGCGATCGTCAAGTTAACTTTCATTGACCCTAACTCTTTCTCTAAGTTAAGAGTTGTTGGGCTTCCTTAGGAAGTTTTTAGGTAAGATATTCTATCTGCCCCTTTTTCCTTACAGTGTAAACAAGAAATATACTCAGAGTCCTCCTTTCTTCTCTTCATTAAGATTTCTTTGAAGGTTTCGTTATTTTAAGGCTTTCTAATTGCGTGGTAGGGATATGAACAATTTATTTTTTGACTGTGAATATATGAAAATCATATATATGAACTTCGGATTACGAAATATGAATGAAAGCGATCTTAACAGTAATGAACACTACCTAAGCAAAAAGCAGTGTTACTGCTGTAATCAAAGTCATTTATTCATCACTTCACGGGTTTATTAGGAACCGAAATGATGATCAGCTCCCATTTGGCTTGTTAGCTCAGTTGTTAGAGCACTGCACTGGTATCGCAGTTGTCTAGAGTTTCTGAATTTTTTCAGCCTTTATTTTCACTCCTGCTTAAGTAGTGTTCATTATTGCGAAGATCGCTTTCATTCAATTTATTTTCTATAACTTAAATCGCGTTTGATTTATTTAGGACTGACTCCTTGATTCAAGAAACGATCAAGAGAAGGTTCAGTAATTGCACTGTTCTTACAATCGCCCACCGACTAAAAACTATCATGGACTGTGATCGAGTTATGGTAAACTGATAATCTGCGTGATTACTATAATTACGGGCTTATATCGAATATTGTTAATTATGTTTAAATTATCTTTGAAAAACCACAATTTTTAATTGGTTACCTAGTTTCTTACCTATTATGTCAGAAACCCGCAATGAGAAAGTTCGACGCGAGGTTCTTCTTTGCGCATTTTTATGCGTTAACATACAAAATTTAAATCCGGCTAAACTTCTATCAACATAAAAACTCTCTTTTTATTCCTAATTGTTTAAGGAAGAGTGTTATACAAAGAACTTTTCTTTAAAAATGGCTCTCCGGATTGCCATAGTTCTTATTGTCAATACCTAATGTACTTTGCGCTCATTCTATTATAACACAAATCATCACGTTTAGTAGTTAAAAGTAGAACAAAAACAGCAAGTGACAAATTTGTCTGGCCAGGGTTATGTTGACATGAATGGCTGTTCTGTCTTATATTTACATATAATTTTGTATGATTAAATCGCACCATGAATATTTAGTAATTGCCAATCTGATGGGCCATTTTTTTTTCAATTGTGGGGTAGGGAGAGGGAGGAAGGGAACATAGTCCAGCTGGAGGCCTTAGGATTAGATGAGGATAATTTAAAGGGAGCTTATATCAGAGACGAGAGTCGTTATGAAAACGAAACGATTATGGCGTTTACTTCATTTTTTATGGTTAATAAGGTCCTGGACAGTGGGCGGCTAAAGGAATTTGACGAGCCTCACTTGCTTCTGCAAAACAGATGGGGTCATTTTTATCGCCTTGTGCAGCAGACAGGATCCCTCACATCTGCTCACTTAGCGCAGGCTGCCAGACAAGCCTTTCTACGCCGGCATCAGCCACAGGCTTCCTATGCAGTTCCAGATTCCTCGAGAAGTTATCTGTCTTCATACATTCCCATAACTGGCTTTACTGATTTACAACTTGAATCTTGTGTTTAAATTTATTTATTATTATGTTAAAAACCTAATTTAGAACATGTGCAATGTTAAAGATTCAATACTTTTGGGAAGTAAACTATTTATTAATGTCCTCGATTTGTCCAGGAAATCGTGGGAACGCAATTACCCATCGTTACGTATGAAAGTATTCACAATTACTTCTGCCTTAGACGAGTGTAATTTGAAAACCTATCAAAACATCTAGTGGCCATAAATAACAAAATGCAGGCGCTTTGAATACGATTTCTTTGTGTATCAATATTCTCAATAGAATTATTTTTTCGTGTTAGCTTGTGCGTCCTCGGTTTAGTATGGAAAACTGATATTGCTCTCCATTACTTTCTTGGTATTCCTCATTGAGTAATCTTGAACGCTAAGGATGTTAAGTATATAATTAATTCCATTCGTGCGCGCTGGATATGAGATGGAAGGTGCTGTAAGTGGCCATAACTATCTCGGTCCACCAACCGTGGACAGAATAATTGTTTTGTGAAAAAAACCAAACAGAATATGGTAAAATGCGCTTCAAAACTTTGCAAACAAATAGTACAACAGCTGTGATAAAATGGTCTGTACAAGAATAAAATCTCATAGAAATGAAAACATACCTTGAATATGAGTTGCGAGAAGATAGCTGATATACCTATGATACAAGCGCTGTCACTGTTGTATATTTTCACTCCTTTTGACAACAATCTCGATTGAAGAGTTCGCGTATTGGAATCAAAGAGTGCATTCTAAATTTGCAGGGCAGAAACTGGATATCTCTATGAAGTATATTTCTCAGAAGAATATGTATTGTGTACATTACGATGGTTAATTAATGGTTCGAGATTTTTTCCGTTAACAACGTGGATTACTTAGGATATTCGTAGAGTTTGTTTATGGATGGGTTTTATAAAGTGTTATTGAAATTTGGAGAGTATATGTTTGTTTGTTTTGATGTGATATTTATAATATTATATCGCGGTAGTCAAGGGAGGAAGTCTTACAAGTCTTACAACCTCAATTACAGAGGATGAACAGACAACTCTCCCACGTTCCCTTATGAGCCACACTTCTTTAGAATGGGTCAGGGACTCTGGAGCTTAGTTATGACGTCACAAGTGGCTGGTGTCCTTAAGACAGAGAAATATGGAACTTAATGTAAATTGCAAGTTGTTAGAGTAACAGTGAAACATCTGATTTACCTAAGTAGGTCATTACACGTTTTAAACGACATACTACTCGAAAAGTACTTGTTTTTGAGGCGGAACTCCGAGAGAAAAATTTCGAAAATCCATCGCCGAATAACTAATACATGATGTAAATATGACAAACATGTAGTGGGGGATGGTTCGACGAAGGGCATGGAGCACTTCATATGGACAGAAAATTGCGTTACAGCAGAAAAATTGTTTCCTTATTAGAGTCAAAAGTGCTATATTTTCGATGTAAGCGTCCGCTTGACAGAGGTGTCCGTTACATGTAGATTCGTTGTAACACTTACTATCAGTCCTCGATGTAGAATTCAACAGCGGCTGAGAGTTGGTACGCTTATGAGGAAATATTGAGTATACACCCTGGGGTACACTATCCCGCTAGGGAAATAGCGGGAAATACGTAAACTAAATATGACAATGTCCTTTTTCTTGAAAAGCGAAATTATCATGTTAACAAAAGGTCTTTTCCTTTCTCGTGTTGATGAAATCAAACAGCGATCCGAACATTATTGAGACTTTTTCTTAAATATTTATTCACAGCTGAAATGGAGGCGTTCGCTTAGAAAGTGTGAATGTTTCACCAAACAAAAGGGAAATTTACATTTATGTCATTAACACCGGGGTTCAGAGAGAAATTTCCATTAAGCCGAAGTAGCAACAACACGTAACAACAACACGTGTAGAGACGAAATGTCAATGTGATTAGTGGCGAGAGGCCGGTTCATTCATTGATTCGTGACTTAAGCTGATTAAATCGCGATGTTTAATTACGCTAAGCACCCATGATTACTCGAGCGTTAACGAAGTATTCATTCGAAATGATTAAACCAGTTTTAAATACTGATAGATGCTTTAATGATTGTACATCAAGCTGTAATGGAAAGGATAATACTTCAGTTTTAAACATTTTCAATCGAAGCAGCACCTCAAACACTCGAGTAAACAAATTCGAGCATTTTTTACTGCATGTAATTACAGTATTTTGTTTTATTCAGGTAAAAACCATTTCGCTGTCATTATTATGGGTTCAGAATTATTTTGCATTCGGAAATGTTTTACGGACTTCATATGAAATTGACTCAAAAGGCACAAGAAAAAAATTGAAAAGGCTGTTTAAAAAAGGAAAAGAAAATGTATTTTCAGTCGTGTTCATGGTGTGTGCTTTGAGAAATTTGACTTGGCGTTGAGTTTTGTTGTTTCATTTGGTTTTCCAACTTGTTAGCCGGCACCTGCAAGTATAGATGACCACCTGACGCACCCTGGAGTGTGCTATTGTTTGAACTTCAACAAGCAAACTTTAGCGACATTCCAAATTCAAATGAAAACAACGCTGTGATGAAACTGTATTTATTTTTCCAATAATTCCATTTGGTTCAGCTCGTCTCGCGCATGACAAAAAGTAACGTTGTGTACAATACTGAGAATGTTTCATATCATGGGGTGTTCTAAGACTGACTTTCAACGGTAGTCGCCTTCAGCAGTAATTTTGGATTGTTTCGCGTGTAGCCTTAGTAAGCGATGTTTTTAATTTGGTTGTTTTTCTATTCGATTTGGTTCTTGGGAACGGAAGGTAAGTTAAAGTCCAAGGCAGTGTTCGCCGCGAAATGATAAAGCGGCACCACTCTTGTGTACAGATATGACTGTTGACGAGGATTGATTCATTCACTCAGACGTTGATTAACACCATCTTTGATAAGCACATAAGCATTTTTTCCCCAGTTTTTACTACAATAACAAACGAAAACTATTTTTCGTTGCAAACAACAAATAGTAAAAACAAAATATGAATAGCGAACGTGATGTGACAATCTCAAATAATTCATTGTACTAATGTCACTTTCTAAAGGGAAAATGGGTGGAATATTTCGAATAAAATTTGTTGTACGAAAAGAGAAAGAGTAATTATTACCTTGAGCATCGATTTACATTTTGAGGGAAAATTGATCGAAATTCAGAAATGTTCGAAATGATAAAACAAGAACTTTTAATCTCACTTTGTAAGCGTCAAAATAACTTCAAATGTTCAACAGGACGAGTTAAAACTCAAACTGAAATGCAAATGAAGGTACAAAACACATGAATTCGTATACACTAGTGTAACACACGCAAAATCTACAATGGCAGGTAACATTTGTTTTGTTTCTTCTATTTTTTTAACAAATTTAAAAGGACGCGACTCCAGACGAAAACGATAGAAAATCTTATCAAATTTAGAGGATGTTACATTATGCCCTCATAGGTGATTTAACCTCTCCTTCTGTGAAACTTTTTAAACGAACACAACCTCTGAGAAAAACGATAAATTATTCATCGAACAAACATGCCAAAATGCAAATTAGCGTCCGTTCATTTCTCACTCCGTCAAGATGAATGTTTACTATTCCAATTTACATTTCAAGACATAAAGAAACTTTGTGATGTGGTAGTGAATATTTCGCTTTTACAACCTTCAACTTATTTTCCAATATACATTTAAAGAACGAGTTACTTTATTTTTCAGTATGCGAAAACAAGTACTTTTTGTAGGTTTGTCTCCTTAAGTATTAAGTACGTATGTTTAAAACTTTCTGGTTATGTAACTTTTGTGGGTCTCTTTCAGCGATATTGGAACAAGATTTTAGTTTTTCAAATTAGTCACAACGCGTTCTGATAGGGGGAGCCAATTTTGCAGACGGCTGCCGGACTTCCATGAGTGGAAAAGAAACGTTTTACGAAGTATTAGGTTTTCTTAATTTCGGCCTTGATATTCTTGTAGTAGGGCGCATTAGAGGAAGGTAATTTGCAGGACCACTTTGATTGTAGTTGAAGCCGTTGAAGCCAAAATTATTTTGTTTTCCACCGGACCAAATATCTTTCCTCTTTAAATTGTTCTTCTATTCTTAATAGCTTGTGGCTAGGTTCTGTAAGGCTCTGCCGGGATACGCTGGGGAATGAGGTGCCAGGTTTTCGCTTCATCTGTTTGATCATTCTTTAGCAAGGTTCCGTTCCATAAGGGGTGAATTCCGAAACATCATTCTCGGCGAAAACTTCGTGATAGCTTCCCAGCGGAAATTTTCATTTAAAAAGGGAACTAAGATCGTTTAAATCTGCTTAACGAGGCCAGAGATTCTCTCTCGAAAACGCAACAAAATTCGACATTCAATACGAGCCAGCCCTGGTAACGAGCTTTTAAGGAGAGGCGGCCCCTTAATGAACCTTGACAAACAGACCAGTATAACAGTCTTAAGCAATTGCACAGGGGCGGACAGTTTATGTGACTTATCTCGTTTATGCAGGACGTCACTCCAGGTTTATCAGCGTCCCTTCCAATCCAACTTTTTCGCATAGTGGAAACAATGTGACATTGATATGGCGCTATCACTTAAGTCAAGCTGACAGGGCTAATTTCCACCGACTATTGTTTGGTCAGTGGAGCGATGGCGATATTTCAATACCCTTGATGAGCTTGTCAAAGAATGGAAGTTTGGTTTCGCGCTCCAAACGTATTGAATGGATTGGAAACAAAACTACAGCCGCATTTCGACTTTATCGCGTGACTGCTCAAGATGGCGGAGAGTACGGTTGTATGTTAGAGTTCTCAGGGGCATTTACTGTGCGTCATACAGTACAGCTTGCAATAGTTGGTATGTAAATGACTAGTCTCTCGCAGTTGTCGTATTGTATTGGGAACTCTCTCTTATTTTTTTCTTAACTAATTATTTACGGCATATTTTGCGATAATGTACCCTTATGGTACAGCGTTGGAGATAACTCCTCAAGACAATTTTTATTTTTCAGGTAATCTAGTTGGGCCACTTAATAAATTATTCAGTATTTTTATAAGGTGTTCATCGACATTAAATGACTGTTTCGGATATTTTTTTTTGTGCTATTATCATTTTGTAGCTCCACCGCAAATCAAAGAGAAAGGCAGCAACATAGCGAAAGTGGAGGCTTCAGTAGGTACCTCTGTCGTACTACCGTGTCACGTGACTGGCAATCCTCAGCCGTGGATTTTATGGCAACGAGATGGACAAACATTGCAGAACGGCACAATATTGAGTGACTTAATAATACCAGGTGTTCTTGCAAATATGACGGGATTGTACACCTGTATCGCTGGCAACCAAGCTGGAATTGATAAATATCAAGTGTTGTTGCTCGTGACGTCATGCGGGCATTCTGGTGATATTACACATCTCGCCCAAGGTAAATTCACACCCAGGAGACTGTGCTTTAACATTTGTCGTACATTCACATTTTAAACAGATTTAGCATTACTATAATATTATGCAGTTACAATGCAACTGTATTTGATGTTATTGCTTGTAATGTTGCAATAATGTAAATAATCTACTGCTTCTTATCTCGCAGTTAATGCTATTAATTATCAAAATAGTGTGCTTAAGTTTATACTTTTTCCAGATTCACTGCACCAAGACCACAATCATGGTATGGACACCCCAGCCAGCTTCACCCCAACAATAGTAGTTTGTGTGATTTTATTCTCCATCTTTGGCGCCTATTTCTTTTTCCGATCTGCTGGAGAAAGAACCAAGAAGCTCAGGTACGAAAATTTGTACCGTTGGAATGCATAAACGGTCCTCTCATTTTGTGCTAAAGAACCTTCAGTTTATTTTTGAGTTGTCACTTAATAGTTTATAAGGAGTTGGAGGATTTTAACAAAGAGCCATTAAAACAGGCAACACCTGCGATAAAGGTAACATCCAAGGGTTGGTGGAGGTATCCGGCCTCAAAGCTTACGATTGCCAGTCGGATATCTCACCTTGGATGAGGTGAAAAGAGCTGATAACAAAGGATTTTAGATAAATTGACGTACACAACTTGAAAGAGATGATTAATTCTCAGTTTCAAGCTCTACATTACTTACCGCCAGAAGGTGACATCAAGCACAAAAAGTTGAACATAACCATACTAAACGTAAATATTTCCGTTCATTACAGGAAATACGATAGAATGCCACAGGATGAACAGGCAAGAAGCCTTATGGGTGAATGGTCGAACTTCGCCGACAATGGTGAAAAAATTTGAACACTTAACCTACATAAATGACATATTACCCAAAATCAGCCAGAAGTTTTGCTTTCTCGCCTGTAATTTATTCGTCACAACTCATTAAAATTTATTTGGAGCCTCAACGATGAAAAACCTTACGCATTCAATTCAATGACTTTATCGATCTTGAGAGTGGCAATTATTAGAAGATTACTTTTGAGTAGACTGTGGTGGACTGAAGTTGGTGTCAGCAGTACAGGAATGCATGTTAACGCGTGATTCGAACTAAAGTGTGTGCAGGACTGTTCATTTCCAAAGGAGTTAACATCTAAAATGCGAGGAAGTAGACATTCTGAGTCAGCAGTATCCCAGCATTTCTAAGGCTATACTACTCAAAACACCTACGTCCTTCCTCCTTAGGGAGAATATTTAAATCGATTGCGAGGAAAAGATGCACTTCTCGTCAATTCTGTTGAAGACCTACCTCGCGGAGAGGATGAAGTACCAACAACAATTACACCCAAATGAAAAGACAGGCGAGGAATCTCTAAATATAACACTAATGGTGAGCAGGCATCGACTCTAATAAGGGTATTGAGGAATCTGTTAAATCTACCTCAAGATCTTAACAGTGGACACGAAAAACTAATCGGAATAATCACAATCAGTGAACAAAAACAGTTAGTTTTATTTAATGATCTTTTAGGGAACAGCAAGTTTCAAGTCTAACTAGTAACTGCTACAATAGGTTCTACTGTAATAATCATAATAATCACCACTTTAAAAACGTCCTTGCTGGCGAGATACTAGACGAACGAGACATAGGCTTTAAAAGACACATAGCAAGTAGTTAATGCCCTATTTAAAGCGATCTTCTAAATTTCACAAAGCTTGCAATAAACTAATGATTTTTTTTTCTTTAAATACTAAATTCTCATAAATATACTGCCATAATTTCAGAAAAACCCACCACTAAATGCTCGGCAGTGTCAGCCACAAAGTAGTGGCCCATTCCTTCTTTACTTTTTCATTTCATTCCCATTCAGGAATTGGTATGAAATCGCGGTAGCACTTAAAGATTCTAATGTCAGAGTGGTCCAAGCTTTTTCCCTAGCCAGTTCAAATTATATTATCAGTCGAATTCTGCTCAATACTGCTTGTAAACAGACAAACATTTACACCGTGATTCTCTTATGAATAAGCCAACGACAAGATATTGTTATGGCTTTATACAAGAGGTAAATAATTATCCATACTTATATAGCCTGAGCCAAGCATGCTCACCTAAAATCTGTGACTGTACTTTTTTCAACATGTTCACCGGATAAAAAAATTATTAAATCACTACTGATGTGTTATTTTTTGACAGCTCTTAGTGTTGCAGGTTTCTTCTGTTTATTCATTGTAGTCAGCATAAGAGAGATGTATGAAGTCAGCAAATCGTCCATTTTGTAACCCTGCAGAAACAAAATAGCTTTCGCGTCATTTACATATTATGCAGTGAACTGAATACTACGCACTCTTTTGTTGGTCTTTGTCTTATTAAGCTTAACATGCAGTCTTGTTGGCGAGATTGTCCCGAAGACATGCGAGGGCTTCGAGCAAACTTAACCACGAGTTTTCACTCCACTTTTTGCTCATCGAATGAAACATAAATTCTATTTTGCAGGTTGTCTTTACTGTTGTTCATCACTGTAGACATCAAATTGTGATTATAGCATCGGTGACACAGTCGGCTGGGGCTCGTGTGCCAGTTTCTTGTTCTATAACCCACACTTTGAAGTCATTTGTGAGTGAACAACTGAGGGTTACATTTGCATTGCAGCATACTTTAGGCGGCTAACTGTGTTCAACAGCGGAATCCATCTTACCAATGATGTTTCACATAGAAGCCTGCTTCCTTTCACCAGACTACCAATCGTCATATGAAAATACGTGTTGCCACTGCTCCAGTTTGAAATTTTGGTGAACGGATAGGTGGCGAGGATATCCTAAGAAACAAATATCACACTAAATTAGACGACAAAGCTGCTATTGAACGGGGCAAACAAAATTTCTCTTTTCGCCATTCTGATATTTCAACAGTGCATGCCAACGCTATTTATGAGAAAGAATGAAATCCTATCCTTATTGCGAAAATAATGGTTGCGTTCGACAAGGGAGAATGCCAATGTAAACTTGCGGGAGACTCGAGCGGACAAAGAGACACTTGGGAACAGCAAGGAATCAATCTTAAGACAATATGATCATTCCACCTTCGAAGCGAAGATGAACGACATCATCCACAAGCCACATGCATACGCTATGGCAAAGGAAAGAGAGCCAATCGTTGGTGATGACCTTGTTTTTCTGCACCAACTGGACGAAAAAACTTTCACGAACGATCTCATTTCATAATGATTTCATCACATTGAATTTTCAAAATAAATGCTGACTGAGCATAAATAATTTGCTAAAAATATCAATAACAATGAAATACACTTAACTAATCCTCATTTCGAGGAATAAAATTAGTACGAACATGAAGTTCCTTATATTTTCTTGGCATACCTTAGTTCGTGGATTAATGAGATTCACACCATTCTTGTTTATAGCAATCAACAAATGATCTGGGAAGTTTGGCTCCGTAGTTTGCTGGAGGACAAAAAAAGGTTTAATTTTTTAACTGTCTAATATCTTTCTGTAGAACACAAAACATGAGCTATAACTTCGACTTTTATCTTGTCATCCCTGCACCGAGCATTACATGGAAGTACAACTACTGAGCTGCCACTGAATTTTACAGTTCAGCACATCTTTACTCTTGCTGTAATTCATTTTTATTTCAGCTGGAAAAGCTTTGTTCGCATACAGTGCTCAACAACTGGTGTATTGTGTCTTGCGACCTTAAAAACGAGCTATGGAATAAACTTTTCTCGGTATACTTGCATGATTTAAAATTCAATCACCTTCACTTCAAAGAAAGCCGATCCGAATGTTGGCCATCTGTAAATGATCTTCAAGAACGATATTTTAGCATCATTCTTTGACTTGCCAGCATGTTTATTGAATGATGCAACTATGGCCTGGAACAAATTTAATGAAAGACAACGTTATAATCAAAGTCACAAATCAAATAGTAAACAGATAGTGTTACTTAAAAAAGAGCCACATTAAAAACTCAACAGGAACGAAAACTACGAACCCTCTTCCAGTCATCCGGGGACTGTTCAGCGCACAGGTCAGACGGAATCAAATCACGTAACATTTTCCTGTGTATCGAAAAACATTATTACTCTATAATTACTATTATTATTATTATTATTATTATTATTATTATTATTATTATTATTATGGCAGTGCAATCTTTGCGAAGGCATTGTAAAGAAATAACAAGTTGGGAGACAAATCAAAAGAGCAAATATAATGCTTGTAAAAACTAACCTATTTTAGTGATATCTATGTAACATTCATCAAATAGATAACTACAAAGGAAAAATAGATTTGTCTCTTACGGTATGCTGGGGAATTCTCGTTTGTCCTCGCCAAATCGAACTCTGTAGATAAGCGCTGCAAGTTGGCTTCCGTCTTCTTTTGTACATTTATGATAGCCTCGTAAGTACTTTGGTAACTCCTGGTAACACAAGTTTCAATGTTCATGAATTAGTTACAGTGATACAAACAGAATGATGAAAAATACAAACACTTAAAGTATGTCTTCGTTACAAGTATGTAATAGGAGGTACAATCTGTTATTTTAACTTGATTCATGTTGTGCAGTTACGACGTAGACAGGCAATTGATTCCATATTGAAATAAACATCATAAATACTCTTATTAAACGAGTTTAGTCTGGCGGACACTTGACTGCGATTACACGCACACACTGTTGAATTAGAGGACATGAAAGAGAGTAACTACTGTACCTGATGATAATGAAAGATCGTGTCAGCGGCAACGTCCTTTCCAACCACAGTTGTCGACCATAACTTTTTCATGAAGAATACTTGATAAGTTAAATTCGGCAGTTGACCTGGAGATGAAAAAATTCCCTTTGACTTCTTCAAATGACAGAAATAGTGGGGGAAAATAAATCAATTGATCTGTTACTTAAATTGAATGAATTTTATCCAAGCATTACAAGGCATTTTCTACTATAGGCTCATAAAACTGTTTCATTCTATTACATGATAATATGTACACCTAAATCAAATATTTCCTACTGAAGTACTTATGTGTGCAATATGCCGACTGGAAATAACTTTCAGAATTGTTGACATTGATTTAAGGATGCCCTCTGCTATCTGTTTAAATAACCACACTTGGAATAAAATAATTTGGCAATAAGGCTTTTCAGTAACATTATGGTAAAGAAGTAAGCATCAAGCTCATTATTTATGAAGTCAAAATAATAAAATTTGAGACTATCTAAAGAATTGTGGAGCATCACACATCCCTTGCAAAGTAAGGTTTTAAAACTAGTAAGTTCTGAGGAGAGTCAACTTACCATCACGGGTAGGTCTGGCTTTCTTGAGCCACTCTGTTAAATGTCTCACGAAATCGAAGAAGAAGTCTCCCTCAGGAACACTGATCACTGTAAACAGACAATAGAGTTGTAAGCCCGAAAATACCTTGAATGGTCGCCATGAAGTGGAAGAAAGAAGGCGACTTAATACAGCAATGTCATCTTCATACGTTGGAGGGTGGGTTCTTCCCACACCGAGTAGTGATCAACATTTTCCATATGTTGCTATCACATTCATTTCCTTTCCATGAAAATTTATTTTTCGTTTCAAGACATAAAATGGAATGTGTCATCAGCCATCTTATCGCCATAATACCTTTATCAGTGATCTTAACAAACAAACTGAATCCTTCAGAAGACTTCAGTCCCAGGCGCTGTGCAACAACAGCACAAAATTCTTTGGCGCGTGTGCTGGAATCAACTTCAAAGGCCTGCAGTGAAATAACAATACAACAATGATCACAAAGCCAAATCGTAAATTAAGCCAAAGAAAACTGACTCAGTTCTACCGATGGCTCAGTTGCACAATAAATAGAAAAGACGTCTGTTTCTCAATACTTAAGACATAAAATTGTTTTACAAAAAATCTCAGATAGGCCTTTTAAAATAACGATAGTTAGGCGAATGATCAAGAAAAACAATTGAAAAACATCTGTCCAAAAGAAACTCGCGTTAAACTGATATGAAGAAAGGAAAGGTGGCCATGAATTTTGACTTAGTCGATATCCACCTCACATGGTACTGATACCAAGATGCTGCGAATCCCAGCAGGTTGTTAAATTGAGAGAGGTCTGTTACCTAAAAATTAAGCAACGTTTACAAATCGAGGTGATTTTTCATACTCGCGAACAATACGATAGACAAAGATATTTCAACCTGATCACTGTCATCGGGAAAATACACTTTATGGAATATCTGAGTAGTCTTGTGCTAAGGGAAAAACAAAAACAGAAGTTATGAGGATGCAAATGAGCTGTGTTTTAACTAAATGATACATCATTTAGTTCATCCTTTTCATAACTGTTACATTTTACAGCGACGATTTCAGCAGTATATGGCCAGGTTGCCTTGAACACCCATAGATTTCTCTTCCTAAGATTTGATGTTTGCTTGGTGTCCTTTAAGCACCATAAATACATGTACAAAAATCTGTACAAATGTAATACATAACAAAACATAACATATAATACACATACAAACATAATACATATAATGACATAATGCATGTAGTGTACAAACGTCTCGGACATGTTCAGAGTGTCACACCTGTATGGCCTCCACCTCCACTATGTGTGGAGGATATTTGCGCTGCCCGACTCTGATAGTCTTCTGTAGTCTGGAAAGGCAGTCATGAGCTAATGGCTGTTTACTGGAACACGACCGGAACACTTGGTTCACTTCCCTCATCAGCAAGGAACTGAAAAGCGCGAAAAAATACAGCTTGGATACAATTTTAAACCGTTACACTGTACAATGGACTGGTTTATACACAATGGCTTTACCCACCTGCAGGCAAAGATTCCCGTACAAAGCCACAACAGTTCCCATCCTTTCTCCTCACTTGAGCTGTAAAAGGTAACTATACATTTACCATACTTCCCTTTCCATGTTAACATTTCAACCAACCAACGATTTCACGTAAATGCAACGAAAGCAATTGATTCCTTGGTATAAAGGAATGACATTTTACTCTCCTCTACATAAATGGATGGATAAAAATATAACTCCACTAGACGATCCCTTTTTTTCATAGGGATTTCCATTCGCTCTCTAAGTAATATTTATTTACGTTAAATAGATATTGTTAACGTAATAGCAAGGCGTCTACCAGACAAATTTTACTGATGTACTAAGAGTCTGTGTAGATCACTCCAGCCCTGTCGAAACATTCCTCCAACAAGATCTTAGATGGGAACATATAGAAACATCTGTTCCGATATACTTACGGAAGTCTGTTTTCTGTTATCTGCTTTATCAACTGGCAGTAAACTTCGTCTCTCAGAGGTTCCTTATGAAAAGAACCGGTCAAAGGTCAGAAACATGATCGGGTTTCCATAGCAATGGAAATGAATCAACTACACTTAATACATTACAATCTGAAACGTTTCTTACATGAAGCAGAGCTGGTTCAAAAATGGCGTCTGTGAGATCTGTTGTTTGACGAACCCGCTTGGATGGGTAATCACCCATGTACTTCATGATGGGTCAGATAAGTCAAGGAACCGTTATTTAAAATCTCAATCAGTCTATTTCATAATAATCACGTTGGTGGGAAAAAGCGAGAAAACTACAATTGACACAGGTTAAATCAGTGACCTCTGTTTGAATTTCTTGTTTACATTACTGGTTAAAAATAAAAGCACGGATGTAAGGTTTTCAAATCATTCAAAGAATCCTGTGAGGTCAAAAGTACCGAAGATATAAAAGTACTCTCCAAGTTGTAACAAATATTATAGCAAGGATATCCAGGAAAGTTTGCGTGGCCTTCTGGGCGAGTTCTTCCTGGCCTGCTAGTCTTTTCAGCAGTGGCTGCTTGATGGGGTCCTGTAAACAACAAATGATCTCTGCTGTGTTTTTCGTTTCACAGAATCCTTCAACATTTCATTTACATAGTAAAAAGTTATGTGTTATATCTATGCCAAATATTTCGTGCGTGTTCGATAGCCGACTCATGACTCTTTTATTGATATTACCTGAAAAACGACACACTATGTAAAATGGTTGCTTGAGGAGTCGAGATTTTCTGTTAAACATCGATGACGACTTTCCAATTATAAATCTGAACATAAATCAATTTTTAAGTACAAAACAAACGCGCCCAACAGCAAAGCATAAGGAAAAGACAATCAAAAGTAAATCACTGCCAAATATAAATGTTATTACACGTATATCAGTAGTAACAGCTGTTCACAAATCAAGCTGTATTGATTACAACCTCCTTTACCTTGGTAAAAGCCCAAGGTATATTCTTGTCTCTCCTTTTGACCTGCGATTGAAGAGCTTTACTCAGAGTTCTCTTGGCTGGCGGTAGAAAGTGTTCGATGGAATATTCATACAAAGTGTGTGGCTTCTCAAAAGATTCAACCTCCTCTTGGTAGATGGCTGTCTGAGTTGTGGCGATGATTTTCTCAGAACTTTCCAAAGACTGATCATTGAATAAGCTCTGTTAAAACAGTGAAAAGAGCCAACAATAAAATCTACTTTGTATTTATTTAAAATGCAATCCACGGGTAGAACCTTTGATGACCAGCGAACCATCTAACACCGAAAATAGTAACAATAACGATGTCAAATATTTGAAGTGAACTTACGTTGGGTTTATAATGCAAAATAAACTTCCTATGCGAACATGGAAATCCAGCAAGAATTGCTACATTCACTTTTTTGGACTTCATTAGAAAGGTACTTGAGAAATGTTCCTTAGATTCTTTTAAATAACTTTCGCTTTTCAAGATTTTGCAAAACAAATGCGTAATGTGTAAAGACTTCATGTCAGCAGAACAGCATTGCCGGAATGGGATAATAATGATACATTCAAAGACAAAACTGTGCATATACAATGATAACCACACCCATGAGACAGAAGACATCACTGGCACATTTACACTTGTAGCCAATCGCCAATCTAGTTAAGCTTCTGCTGTGTGTTATCAATTATAAATAAAAATCGTCGAATAAATCACCGGCAGGTAATAACGTAAGTATCAGCGTGGTTTTAACAGGATTGGTAGATATGGTTCGTCATTTTAATGTCTTCTTAGCTAAGCCTCAATCAAACAGCACGAGGCACAACAAGCATGTTAAGCAAAGATCAATTCGCAGCAACACATTTGATTAGCAATGAACTCAATTTCGGCTGTGAATATATAAAAGTCAACGAACTCAATTTCCTCGGAATAACAGGCTCCGATGTGCGACATGGGAGAAAACACACCAAGTAAGGCAACGTCTTTTGAAAAGTCGAAATTTACACTACAAAAAAGGCCTCGTAAGAAATATGCTTTTTTGAATTGCTTTTCTTTTAACAATAGGAACTCATGGAAACAAAAAATAAACAGTATGAGTATTAAATAAAATTATCATGAGGGGAGATTGTTTCCGGCACTAGTTTGATTTATTTGAGCAAGTTCTTCAGTTATGCTGATCGGATATTTCAGATAGGAGATCGAGGAAAACAATGTGATGTGAATCTTCCAGGATATGGGAAAAGGCATTTTTCAACAATTTGGAATCACAAGCAAGAGTTGTTGTCATAATTCTACGGTTGCTCTTGAAGGCCTCTGGTTGTTCATAATTTATATGAAAAAAAATTCGGCCAACACATTTCAGTGCCATGCCATTTCTGATTTCTTATAGTCTTAATCTTTACAATTTTCTTCCTTTTGGCTTCAACGCAAACACTTGATAAACAGGCGACCTCCACGAAGATGCAAAGGTTAATTGCCGGACTCAATGCGCTTTCACTTGGGTGACATTCATCCAACGCTCATTGCAGCGATGAACGATAGATGATTAAACCAACCGAGATTCAGTTGCCACATTCACCAAAAAGCATCCAGCATTTTTCACCAGTTGCAGTGACAGTAAAATGCGCAAAACACTTCGTTGAACAGGAAACTGCAGGCAAATGCTTGGAGCGTTTTCATAAGTTTTAGTGTTGAGGGAAGGGTGAAAGGAAGATACTGTGACTCATTACACCATTTGGGAAGCCAAATGTAATACAAACATGAACATCTCACTTTCTACCTAACTGAGTTTCACACCAGAATGGGAAAAAACAAAATTATACAGTTTCCTGAAATAGACTTTTAAAAGGCTAAAAAGAGACAGCCATTTCAAAAAGAGATTGCTTGAAGTATGCTATTTTACTCGTCTGTGAGACAACTTACCATTGTATCTGCTGATGGTTTAGTAATGGTAGGCAGCACATACACACATTCAGCAGGAAAGTCTCCCTTTCTACCAGTCCTTTCACAGATGCCATAACACCAACCGGAGTTCAGGACTGTTTCTCCTGTGTCACTCTCAAGAGTTATTAAATCACCTTTCTTGAAACTAAGGAACGATGAGCTCTCAGCTGAAAAATGACAAAATATGAAAAAGAAAAAATAAATAGTAGAGTAACGAGGAGGAGAAAAACCCGCTTCTTTAAAACAACCATTTGAATGGATTCTACCTGATTCAACATTTATTTTTTTTAGTTCGTGGCTATTGAAAAACAACTTAAAGAATTGATTTGAATTCACCTCAAATTCCGTAGAAACTAAGGGCAAATTTACCAAAAAAAGGCAGTCATTTTTTCGAGTATTTAAAACAACAATTAACAAAAGTACATCATCAAAAGTATCTTATTAAAGTTAAATTGTTATCATGAACGTACAACAGTGAAGATATTAATAAAACCAACTAGTTCCTACCTGGACTCTGATAGTCAACCATTGCCACCACATACTTGGACCTTTTCCGTAATCCCTCGAGGAAAAAGTGAACAAGTTCTTGGATGTCATCAGAATTTGCTGAAGTAAACGTGTACTCGTCCCCTTTGACGGTAGTTAGAGTGAAACTAGCGCTCTCTGACTTAATGGCCCTACCACACACAATTACATGTAACTCAAATCAGAATAGGCGTTGCTAGGTACCTTTCAGCCGGACCAGTGGAGCGACTCGTTAATTTATCCCCTATTACGAAATTAAGAGGTCTCCTTTGATTTTGCCATGTTGAATAAAAGAAAAACAACGACAACAACATGGAAAGAAAGAGAGAGACAAACAGTCTCACTTCGGAATGAGATGAGTTCGTCACATCATTAATACACTAAAAACAAAGTCTTTTTGTGATTTTACTATTGATATTGCTGCCGTAGTTGTAACCCCGCCTTATAGCATCTCCCACATCTTAATTTCCTTTCACAGGAAATGTTATGTAACCATTACCGTTCGTTCGTATTAATTTCTAGGGGTGAAAGAAATCACAATGTATGATTGCTGTAAAAGTTTAACAATTTCACCTTTTTTCTAAGTCCCCTTAATCATGCAGGTATCAGGTCACACGTGTGACACACACGTGTGACACACACGTGTGATCCCAGGAAACGGAGCACTAGTCACATACTTGTGTGAAAGAAAGTATCGTTAAGATCTGAATCACTCCGCCTAAACATTGTGACGGTGGTAATATAAAGAATCTGAAGCATTGTCCCCTTAGTTAGATGAAATTTATCCCAGGGGGCATAAATTATTCACCTCGGGCTTGTTACAGTAGTTATCTCAGGAAACTGCAAATCTAAAAGTACATGCTCTTGGTCATCAACGACATAAACGCCGGTCCAATTCACTGCCACTATTACGTCGTTCTTTGGCAGACTAGGGCCTGAGAACTGGTATGCTTCGTAGAATCTGGAGAACAGCAGTGGCCATTTATATCGAGCATAGTTTACCACATCCTCTTTCACTTTCTGTGGATTAATCTTCTCTGTTGTGTAATAACCCTGTTAAAACAAAGACAAACCAACAGAACATTGTAAATAGAAAGCCTTTCAGCATTACCTACTAATGAAATATTGTCACTGATCTCTGTATCATTGTCTGATTTCGTTTTATTGGGGGAATTAATTTCCAAGAAATAGACTTATTTCTTATTCTTTTCACTTCTACCAGTTACCACATTAATGAGAATGGGATCTTTCCTTTGATAGCGAGTAGTTCCAGGATAAGCGCTCAGCATTTTCTAATGTTCTACTCTAACCGCGCAGATAAACACTACATTTGTTGAATATTTTCCATCTTTCAAATGACCTAGGTAAGAGTACACTCCAAAATCATCGGTTGAATTGGGCGCAAAATAAAAACTTATTTTCCCTAGCGGCAGAGGCTTAGAAACTGGACTGACAGACTTGTAAATCGCAAGTTAATACACATACCTTTTTGTGGCAGTTTATTACCAGCTGGGCCCATTTCTCCAGCACTACCTTACCCCCTTGAAGCTGACTATCAGGGAGGTAGGAGGGTAGTAAGTTGATGAGTCTGTCAGCTAACATTTCCTTACCATATTCCACATAGTATTGTTTAGCAGCCACGTCTGCCAAGTCTTCATCCTGACAGAAGAAAAAACGTATAAACAATGAAATAATTCCTTACGTGAAAAGATAAACTCGCACCGCGTAAGTTGCACACTGGTCAAACTGGTCAACCAGCAGGTTTGTCAAATTCTTGTCACAAGGGGCAGGACTGGCCATAGGTGCCATAATAAGTAGAGTAAAAAAAGCAAACTAATTGAAAAGAACATGTAAAATGTAAAAATGCTTACTTTTATTTGGATTTGTAATGAATCAGACGCGTTGGAAGGAAACGAGGGGGTGAAGTAATATATCTTTAAATGGTTCTTTAAGTGACAAATGATTACAGTAACGTTACCTTATCACAACGATACTCTCCAAACTTCACACCCCTCACCACCTGCTGGTAAATAAGGTTTGTGCCTATTTGATCGACTGTGGGATCGTGCCATGGAGAGAAGATTTCTTTCCTGAAGAACAAACGCCATGGTGCATTCATCTCCTTGGCTCCTTTCTCTTTGGCGTACTGTTCACACTGAGAAATGGCGTCCATTACGTGATCGCTTCCACTTCCCAAACTGGACACCTGTGCAAATGAATGCCGGTTAATCGACTGCCACAGTTCTGATGGTGACTGAAGCAAGCGGTTATTACGAAAAAAAATTTTACGGCGTACCTTGTCGAAGAGAGCGATATAAAGAGAGAAGCCAAACTGATCAGTGAGTGATATCTTGTCAGCCAGTTGTGTGCAAAGTTCTTTAGCTGTTGTAGCAGAATCTGCCAGTAAGGTTTTTGTGGTTCCATCCATAAATGTTATCGGTAACATTAAAGGCTTCTTAGATTTAGTTGCCTGATCAAAATCAATTCAAACGATAAACAGACTAAATATTAACAGAAAACTTGCGTCCATAAACTATGTCCAATAAATTAAACTTTACAATCAAGAGATCGAGCCAGACTTCAACGGTACTCAAATCAGATGAAAGTAAGAAAGAGAGAAATGTCACCTGTAACTCCAGCCAGCTGGGGGGTTGGTGCCTACATCCGTTCTGCTGTGTCCTCCTCAATCTCTCCTCACAGTATGGCGCGTACCCAGGGGGACCATCTCCGATAAAACACTTCAGATATTTGACGAACTGATAGCACCGCCACGAACATCGCCACCACCGAAATATCCCCCAAACAAAGAAGAAACACAAATCAATGCAACACTATTTCGAATAAGGCCTACTAATCCATTACCCTTGGCGAAACCGTCATTTCGAGTGCTCAGAGACAGGAGAAATTAAGTAATAAAAAGGATCTATTGACCAGCCCCGAAAGTTGAAGTATTTCGCACAGAAAAAAAACTTTTTAGGAAGTAAATCATTGCTAAGTGCTACAGAGTCCTGCTATCAAACCTCTCTGTTCTTTTCTCCAAATAGTTTCCGTTACGCTTAGAGCGTAAGAACATGTTGGATTGTGTATATGGCCTTTTTTCCCTTGCAGAAAGAAACAATAAAACACACAGAATAACATGAGACATTTGAGGGCTGACCTTTTCTGAAGGTGCAAAACAACCCAAGCAGAGTGACATAAGAATCCATCCGCGCGCATGACTGGATTTGGAAGGATTTTGAGTCAACTGTTTACAAATCTGACAGTAAATTTCATCTCTGAGGTCTGGTCGTAATATGCCATGCCCGATGATAAAGTGAAGTTTCTCTAAATTAGATGTTGGTCGATCCTGAGCTGACAAAGGACCGTAACCTTCCGTTAGTGTACCACTTTCCTCAGCTTCTTTCAACTTCGCTGTAACATCCTGTAAGGTGATACAATTGTAAACTCAAAGAGTTACTCAGCTCTGATAATGAATCACGGGTATTGTATCATTTTCCCATGGTTTTCGGGGAAGATCAGGGGTAGCATAGTACTGATAGCTCGTCACCAACAGACAAGACAAAAATACTGAGAGGAGCCTTATTGAGTTGCTTGTCACTTCTTTACGATTTCCAACACTTTTCCAGAAAATAAATTTTAAGACAAGACATTTAAAGTAGTAAAGAATCAAATACTCCCCTGCAAACTAGAACTGATACAACAAACAATCTTCAACAGAGGGCTTCGGTTGTATCTGCTTTCTAACACAGCTTCTGTCTCGGCATATTGCAAAAACGTAACCTAAGTTAAAATCGTTTGTTCCGAACATACATGTGCACACTTCCTCAAAGGGTACAGGTCAGCAATATCCAAGGTGTTTGTGACAGTTAACACTCACATTACCCACCTTTGTAATTTTCGACTTCCTTTTCAACGTTAATGAAACAATTTTCTTCCTAAGTGTCTCCCTTTTCTCTCTACTCAGTGAATTACTGGATCCCTGAAAGATCGACCAAAAAAAAAACAGTTAGAATGAAAATCTTACGATTTAAATTCAATTAAGAAAAGAGAAGCAGACCCACCCCAAAATCTTGCACTCCGTCGATTCCTTTGTTCTTGTACTTTCTTCCGAGTGTATCGTATATCTTGCTCATCACGGAGCTGTCCTGTTTAAACGAAATAAAACAACACATGAGTGGAAAAAGAGCGTGATTAGAATGTCTTTTAGGCTACGAAACACAATACACTATACGGTCAGGCTATTGCCTGATAATGCTAGCTTACATTCTACTAAGAAAACTGGAATTCTTTGACGGTCGGAAAAAATCCCAAAAAAACTTGTCGAGACTTTCTACACATTGTTCGAAACCATCAATACGTATAGTTCACTGAACAATTCGATGAGATATAGTACCTATACAAAGGTCCTTATATAATTTTACCTTAACGTCTGGCTGTGAAGTGATGTACTTGGGCTCTGGTAAGTCACCCATGAATCTTAAAATCGTAATCCATACCGCTAATGCCGCCTGTCAAGACATTACTTCATTAACAAAAAATTAACTTAAGTTCGCAACGAACTAAAGATAAATAAATGTGCAAAGAACTGAAAAAGACGCCAAGAAAATATTCTAATGCTCGGCATGATTTGAAATTGCGAGAACAGCGTGAGAACAAGTATCAAGACGAGGCTGAGAAAAACGTAGAGATCTCTCAGTGGCTCTCTGACAGCTCAAAAAAGAACGATTTGTCATTCCCACTTATGAGTGTGGGCACAACTACCCGAATAGAATTTTTTCCACAAAAAAATTGAGTAAACGGTATTAGGGATTGACCATTATTCAGGGCTGTACATCTGCAGGTCACGTGTTGAACTTTCGGCCAATGAAAAATATATAAAATACAGTGAATGATGATGTTAACAGGAATATTGGGTGTCGGGTCAGTATGTGTGGCTCCATATTTTCCATATAAGAAGGTTTTACATATGCATTGTTATCATGTTATGATTGAAAAGTTTAGTCAAAAACAAAGTTTAATCTTAAGGTGTCAGACGTGGCTAGAATTACCATACTGTCGGCTTCACTGGTAAGCGGTAAGAGGGACTGTTTTAGTGGTCTTCTGATATATAAAGGAGTTGCTCCACCTTGAAAGTAGGTGGCAGCAAATTTAGAAAACTTGAATTGTGAGACATCTTCTTCTGGCTGTAAAAGCAAAGCGAACTTTTGTCAACATAATAGTAACACAATGCAGTAAGAGCCTGGATGATTATGGTAGTGAGCGCCAGTGGAAGAAATTCTTCAAACAGCTGTTTTCTTTAAGCGTGTGCTCACCTCAGGTAATGATTGCACAGCAGACATTTCTTCGGTGGCAAATTCAACCTCTTGGGCTGGTTCTAAATCCTGAAAGGAAAAATTTACGATGGACCACTGAAAATGAAAATCATGACGATAAAAAGAATCAAAGCGAAGGAAACTTTGAGTTAACATACTGTTATTATTCTCTCTTTTTTCATTTCAGCATAAAAACATTGTTCCGATAAAAAAATTCTCTCAACGCAAAACAATGCTAGACGACTAATAAATGTTGATCCCATTTACGTCTTTTGGCTACACTGTTAGCCGTGGGTAACTGTCTTCCGTAAGAGACAATAGAACAGTTTGAAGACAATTGGATACCAGCATAGATAAAGATTGAAACAATAATTTCTGTTGGTTACGTAAGAACGCTGTATCACCTTGAAGGCGGTGGGAGCTGAGTTAGGCATTGGTGTCTTCTCTTCTGGCAAGAAGCCGAACATTTCATCAACCTTAGAAGGAAACAAACAAAAACAACAAAACTTAGAACCAACACCAAACAATGCTTTTTACTATTCCTGTCTCATTACAGAGGCATTGCGTGCTCAGACGAAATAAACACAGCTCGAATTAAGTCACGAATTAAGTATGAAATAAAATGATCGCGCTTTGTTGTCCTCAACTCCATGGTTCATGCAGCAGTAGCGTAATGACGGTACCTTTCCTTTGAAATTTAAAATTTCTTTTAATAAGAACAGCTCTTCTTCATCTTGACCACAAAGTTCTGAGTCTGAACTGCTCTCCGCTGTCTTGTCCACTTCAAAGCCACTTCCATTAACATTGTCTTGATCACAGACAAAATCTTGAAATTCAACAATTCTTCTCTCTACCGTCTCATAAAAGAATCCTTCGAATCCGTCGACATCCATATATTCTGGTGATTCAGTTTGCCTCACAGAGCTCCACTGTTTGCTCGAGAAATTCATCTTCGCACTTTTCAGTGAGTAATAGTTTACGTTCGAACCTTGAACATTCTCTATTCTAAAAACACGAGTACGTACGCTTTACAGTATTAAATTTCACAACGTAACACGTAAATCAAGAATTTCCGCTGAAAAAGAGGTCATTATATTCCGTGACCCTATCTGTGATGATATTCAAGTAGAATTTCTCTTTGTCGCGTGACTGTCGCAGCACTCAAATGATCATCGCATCAATCAAATGATCACCACAGCGAATGTTTGCCTTCTAATGCTGCAAATAAAAAGCTTCACAAGAACGAGTTCACGTCCGTGCGTGGGCGTCACGAGCCTGTTAACCGCCTAGATGACTGCAGCAGATTTTTTTGAGCAGTCGAAGTTAAAGGTGATCATTATTTGAACCCGGCGGAAAACGGAAATACTCTGTTTCTCAGAGAAATAAGCTCATCTAACTAGTAATCTTCAAACTTGCAATCCAAAATAAAAGAAAGAAACCTACATACAGAGAAGATCTCGCAAACAAGAAAAGTGCTTTGCAGCCCAGAATTAGTTTCATTTCCTGTCTCCATAGTTCGCCTTGCAATAGGACATCTAAGAGTCAATTTTCATGATAGGTTTTCACGAACATGTATAGCATCTCTTTCATGAAGTGTGAGTTTGACCGGCATTCAATTAACCCAGACACTAAACATAAAGGCAGGGGAGGACACGCCCAGTAATGAAGGCGTCGGCTCCTACCCAGTCTTCTTACCATTTTCGAGTCATCTACATCTTCTTCTCTCCGTTTCTTCGCCATTGCTTCTGCAACTTCTATTTCGTGCTTCTTTTTCTCAGCTTCCCGTTTTTTGCGTTCATGTTCTTCTTTCTCCTCTTGCTCAATCTTGGCCATCCGTTCCTAACGTAGCATTACGACAAATAAAAGGGGAAAAAAATTAAACCTGAAATATGCTGTCTACTCTATTGGACACACGTATTCCCCACGGGTCAAATGTTTGAGTAATTTAATAACACAGTTCTACATGAGAAATCGAGCCTGAGACCTTCGGATTCCGCGCTCCGATGCTCCAACCACTGAGCCACAGAGACTCTTGGGTGAGCGAGGTCTATTACAAAGTTCATATGATCCTGATGATCCTGGCAGTATGCAGGACGCGTGTCCTATGAACTACGCAATAGACCTCGCTTATCGTAGAGTCTCTGTGGCTCAGTGGTAGAGCATAGGAGCGCGGAATCCGAAGGTCGGAGGTTCGATTCCTTGTGGGAACTCAGAATTTTTTCTTTGTCCCACGCTCGTGACAAGACGAAAAAAACATTTCTCTATTTAGCATAGATGTGATAAAAAGTCAGAGTGATGTTATCTTTCGCCCAGAAATTCAATTTTGCTCATAAAACAACAACATCAACGAAGAAGCTGCACCTGATGAAGTCTCTGTGCTTCTTTCTCTGCCGCATCAGCCGCCATGGCTTTCTTTAGGCGTTCTTCCTCCTGCTTCCTTAACCTCTCCGCATCTTCGCGTTTCTTTTTCTGTTCAAATACAAAAGTTAACAAATAACAATAAAAAACAATTTACTTAACGTCTACGGTTTATTCCAACTGAGATTTCTTGATTGTCACTGCTTTTTTTTCTTTCAAATTTAGCCAAACACAAATAGTTGCCAGGAGCTCTCATTCAATCTATTTACAGTCAACTCTATGCGGCAGAAGCATACACTTTTATGAGAAAGACAGACAGCGGTGCTAATATGAACCCTTCAACTTGGTCTGCCCCGCTCGAATTTCTCTGCCAATTTTTGAACAAGTTTACCCTGTTTAGAGAAAAAGAGTTTTCTTAGATGATCAGAAAGAGTCAAAGTGATGGCTCAATAAAGGACTGACTGCCTATGACTACGAGTCTGACGTATGTATGCTTAAGTTCTGACCTCCACTCTCAATTCCTGAGTTCGCCTTTTAGCCAGCACCATTCGTATCCCAGCTTGTATCTTGACGATACTCCTAAGACGATTTTTGTACTCTTGTCGAGCGAGGAATCCTCTACAAAATGCTTGAAACACTTTCATTCTCTCACGCAATGTTCTATACTTTGTGGCTAAAACACGAGCTCTGTACGTAGCCTGAAGTCTAGCCAGACCACTTCGGATCTAAAAAGAAAGTACAGCATTTAGTTTAAAAGGTAAAGCCTGACCATCACTGCCGAAAGCCTCATGGCATGAGGCAGTATTATTTACCTTCCTTTTTGATGAGGAGTTACCTCCCAACATTTTGTCCAGTTTCCATGACAGTTTAGCGAGATTCAACTATAACCCTGGGTCGAGAGAGACACTGTGAAACATCATTGCCTCGGCCAAGGACACGACACAGTAACTTCAGGCAGGGTTCGAACCAGGACTATTGGTTTTTTGAGTCGCACTAAGCATTACACTACTTTAATAGTCAATTCTAAGGCTGGAGAACATACCCACCGACACTACTCCACACACAACTTTGGCATGGTGTTACTAACAATAATAATAACTGACCGTGGCGTATCTTTGTCTTTCTTGGAAGCCTCTCCATGTCTTCTGAATAAGAATTGAGCCAGTTTTCATCTTGGTATACCGTTGACGGATCAAAAACCCACGTACAACTCTCTGAATCAAAATGGCGCGCTTGGTAAGAAGTTTATCCCGCTCATCTTCCAGCTGAACGTCTTGCATGTCCTATCAATCAGAGATTTTTCATTCATTGTCATGTGTTGAAACGAAAGAGAGCCTCCATTAACGCAAAAAATACCGTTGTTGATAAAACTAAATCATTTCTTAAACGCAGGACATAGTCATGGAATATTACGCCAATTTATTGCATTTCTTAAAACTGGACGAAGTATTGGAGTCTTCTACTTACGCATACACATGAAGCTTCTGGTTTTTTTTTTCTTATGTGATCTTTACATTTTTTTGTTCTTTCAATTAACAAGTACAGTCGACTCTCGCCCTACGGACACCTCGCTATTACGGACACCACGTGAGAACATCAGCGGCTCACGTTGAACAACGACTCCTTAAAAACGCTGGGCTCTAATTTAAAACTTGTTCCTCAAAAACGCAACTTTCACGCACTTTTCTCAGGCATTTTAATGAAGTGTGTGATCAGTGAACAGCTAAACTGTAACTGCAAGTAACTTACCTTTAGAAAAATCTTAGTTTTTCCAACCTGCCAGTCAGTATTTCCAAGAAGCCGCTTGGCGATTGTGACAGCAGCGTTTTTGAGACCCTGAAAATCCAATGCGTCCCTCGTCAGGCCTTCACTCAGCATGTGGTAACGGTCAATGAACTCCTTAAACGTGTGCCGAATGGGATAACCAGCTTTCCGTATTCTAGGGTATAGAAGAAATAAATATGTAAAATATGAGATAAACAAAAATAAAAAAGGAAAAGCTTAATTTCACACCCAGACAAGAATGCTCTTAGGTGAGAGGAGCTTTCCCCATACACCAATTTGACCCACAAAATTACATGTACATGAAGCCTTTCTTTGGCAAATTCTGTTCCCAACTACTTTGATGACCGTTCAATAAATCAATAAGATTGTTGGGATTTTAAGGGGAAACTAGCTTGAGAAAACTCGCTAAGTGGAAGGTACCAAGAGTCTTGGATCCCAAAAACATCATTCTTAATTCAAACTACATATTAACAAGATGAAAAAAAGTGGTTGTTTGCTTGAACATCAAGTGAAAACTGTGGAATCTCCAACATCTTACCTTATGGTCTCCATCATACCAGAATAGCGTAACTGCCGGCAACAAAGACCCCGATCAAATCTCTGAAAGAAGAAAAGTAAACCGTGAGAGAATTTATCCAACAGCAACGTTCTTCTCAAGCACTGGCGGACAGCGTTTTCATCAGCTATACTCTTCTTTGAAACGTTGGTTACTTTGATTAGACAAAGGAGTAAAATACCTGTCTTGATCTGAAATAAATCCTAACCTTTGACAGCCAGGTTTTTTTTCGTATGGCTGACCACTTAAAAAAATATATAGAAAAGCTGTTACACGGTCAACCTGTAGGTCACGTGACGCATGAGTGCTCACCATTGGTTTCTTGTGGTCATTTGGTTTGATGCAGCGCACAAAGAAAGGATGACAAGATGATAAGGTTCTCATCAGTAGATCAAGAGACTTCTTGAACTGAGCTCCAAGAGTTGGCGAACGTTTCCTCGTATCTTCACCCTAAAAAAGTTTGGGTTTATGATTACACTGGCGAAGTCTGCACAAGAAACACACAGCGAATCAATGAACCACAACTAAGATAGTTATCTAGCAAAAGTAAACTGATGAAACAATAACAAAGAGTACAAACCATGGCTCTCTCTTTAGAAAAGAGTTCAAGTAAGAATGGAAACTTGCTTTCTCCCACCAAATCAACAAGATCCGCACTGAAAGTGTCGCGATTCTTGTCCAGAAAACCTGCCATTGAAATAAAGTTTTAGGCAATTCACCAACAAACATTAACAAGGCCTTAAACTCTTGTAATGATCATTTTTCGTTTGTTTGAATACACTACCTGATTGCCTCCCAAAGACACTCTAAGTGATCCGTCTGAATCTATTAATACTGGCTTCTTAGCAGTGATAAGGTTCTTACCTTTTGAGCTGTAGTAAACAGTTCCCGCAAAATGACGAATACCAAACAAGGAAGAAGTTGAATTGACCGGGGGAAGAAACAGTTTGGATCGCTTGTGATGAGTATTTATTTTCTGCAACATCGTGGCATCTGAACCCTGAGAAATAAAGAAGAAAGCTCCACAGGTTACTTCGTCAGTACAGACAACGAAAGCTCCACAGGTTACTTCGTACAGACAACCAAAGTTATAAATGCAAGTTGTCATATAATCCGTCATCTCATCTTTATCCATTTTGAAATCTGGCAATGAGAAATCCAGTGAAATGCCAGTGCTCATAAGATCGATTCGATAGGCATGGATTAAATTCTGCAAGATTCCACAAGCTACCTTTGGAAATCTACTCTCTTCATCCACCAGAGCAATGATGTTCATGGGTTTTTGTGCCAGTAAATCAAGAACGTTCTGATTATCGACAAACGAAATATGTTGCCATTTTATGTCCTCTTTGTTGTATTCTTCCTGAAAATAATAAAAACTGAGATGTAATCATTTAGCCTGGTTACTGATACACCTACAGAGACCATCATATGGAAATGACTACTAAATTCAGTCACCTGGAGTCTACGAACCGAAGAAACGAAACACTCGACGGCCATGAGTTTAAAATAATAAAATAGCATCTTCTGACTTTTAGTTCAGTCATACTTCCCGTGAGGTATGACTGGACAAACTGTGCGGTATTATTGGCATGGGAACAATTAACATAAAAACAGAATAATACGTGTTAAAGGTACATGTACATATAAATCGCCAATGATGGTGTTTGAGATCACATTGACCTACTCATCAGCCAAATGCAGTGGGACAGATCCAACACTGATGATGAGTCATCATTCTTTATGGGTAAAGTAACCTAACGAGCTTATCTTGACAAGTAAAAGACTCCCTCGAAATAAACTTGCATCCAAACGTTCATTAAAAAACCCAATACGTTGGGTTTTTATAAAAAAAATCTCAAGTTCAACAGTGGATTTGATGTTGAATTTATTCGATCTGTCAAACTTATAACTCGCGTTCATTTGAGCAAGATTCAGATCACGGTAAATAAGCAAATTGTGAACCGTTGACTAGAAAAGAGTATGAGGCAAATGTTTGCTCGCTCAAAACAAATTAATTTTTTTTCTCAGGCCTGACCGCAATTACATTTGTTTCTTATATTATCCCACGTTGTCTTCTTGCGAGGAATTTCACTTCCAATTCATCTTTTCCTAGCTGACTTGTTCCACGAAATGTTTCTTAATATTTCATATAAAATATTCACTTGCCTGTTCCAGTTTAAAAATGTGTTGAACAAAGAACTGTTGAAGATTTTCATTGGCGTAATTGATGCACAGCTGTTCAAAGCTAAAGGAAAAAAAAACAGACATAAAGACAATTATAACGAGTATTTAAGGAAACAGAAGGAAGAAAAGTATTAAAGGGAGGGAGAAAGGAAGGGAGGAAGGTAGAAAAAGTGGGAAGGATGGGGGGGAAAGAGAGTTGGTAAAGAAGGAAAAAGGGAATGAAAGGAGTGTGGGGGGGGGGGAAGGAGGGAGAAACAAGGGGAGGGGTAAGAAAGGGATGGTTGGAGGAAGAGAAAGAGGATAGTGGAAAGAGGAAAGGGAGGGAATGGAAGGGGAAAGTGCAGAGCAGAGGGGGAATATATGAAAGGAAATGGAAAGGGCCAGGTAGAAGTGTTAAGAAAGGTGGAGTTGGGAGAAGGGGAAGATAAGTCAGAAAGGAGGGAGGGAGGAAGGTTTGAAGAAGGAAAAAGAGCGTGAAATAAGGGGCAGAGAGAGGGTAAGCAAAAGAGAATGGTATGGAGGGGTAAAGAGAATATCACGAATAAGAACTTCTACTACAGCAGCCTTTATGTGCTCAGGCTAAATACAAACTTGACTTACCTATTAGAATTAAAGTTTTCAAATCCAAATATATCAAGAACTCCAATAGATGATCGGAATGCTGATCGGTCAAGCTATCAGAGGAATAGATACAGAATATCATTATTTCCTTCCAGTAGTATTAACTATAGTCACTGGGTGGTGATGTTTCTTATGTCTTAAGATTCAGATTACACTTCAAGTAATTGCAATTAATTACACGCCATAAGCATCAAAAGAGCAAAATGTCACCAACTTAGCTTCCATTAACTTTGGTAACTCACCTTGTCTGTGAAAATGGCTGCATTTATTTTGTTAACAATCCACACAAAGATTCGTCCATAAATTCCCTTGACAAAGGCATCTCTAATATCTACAGCTTTTACAGCACTGACTGGAGAAAAGATCATTTCACCTCTTGCAAATGTTGATCGGCTGGTAAATGCTTCAATAAGATTCTCATATGACACCTGAGATAGATAACCAATAACCACTATTAGTGAATGCCTAGAATACTACGCATACTCTCGTTCAATAAGTCAATAAGTGTATTTAGACAAGAATATGCAGATACATGCAAAATTTAATTTTTCCAAAATACAACAGATGACTTTTCCCATGTTTACTAAGCTAGTATGTACTATATTTAAAAATTCAAGGGGTTGGAAGAATTCTAGAAAGTTATGCAAACCCTTGAGCAGCATGTCTTAGAGTTGAACACTTCTATAGACATGAATATATACCCTGTAGGTATACTCAACTCTTTCTCAGTGCCTGTAAAATAACTCTTACTTCAAACCCAAGGCATACTCCAATCTCTTTCCTAAACCTACTCTTCAAACCTAACAATTGCCCTTTACTCATTGTACACAGTCAACTTTATCCCAACATTGCAAACACCCAAACCTATTCCCATTATAATCTGACTCAGCCATCTCTATCAACACAACAAGAGTGCACCTTTGAATCTATCTCCATACCCATTCTACACACGCAACACTGTTCCTATGCTCTTTCCTCATACCTCTAGAAGACCTGCAACAACTTTTCCCAGCTCATGATCAGTGATGTCACATGCATCCACGGTACTTCGAATGGTGGCTATTGGGTGTAAAAAAGAAAGAAAAAGAAAGAAAAAGAAAGAAAAAGAA